AGTGAAGATTTGGCATAAGTGACTGGGATTCGTGAGGTATTAGAACTAATTATTGATTCTTTGTACTTGATTCGGCATTGGTTACAAATTGCAAATTAAATACGTTCTAGTTTGCTCATTAAATTGGGCTATTCTGAAGATTCTTAATTAGGATATTCATTCAAGAGCTGTGATTTATCATAATTTGTCAACAGATTTCATTGATGAGGTAATTTTGGAGTTGAAGCAATCACAATAATTTACTGACGCTTAAATCCTGTTGAAATTGAGTAAACTCCGCCAGTAGACCTTCTGAGGTTACAGCCGTTCTCGAGCCTGGGTAAGAAAAGAATGTTAGGCATGGAGTCAACAACCTCATTCCATAGAACACAATCCTGATAAAAAGAATGTTGTTCAGAGTAAACAATCCAGTGTCATGTGACAAACTGAACTCTTATAAGCATGGATGAAACGAAGAGTTCGATCCTTTAGTCATTGAAAGGTAAATTCAAAATTTACAATGAGTATTATTTTAGAGTGTGGAATATTATTGCCTGTCCAAGCAGCAAAATCCTGTCTAAGACTTCCTCGCGGTGCCGCTGTATAGTAGGAACAACCTTGCTAGACAACTTAAGCAGTCATTGGAGATCAGACTGATCACCCATTCTGTTGTATCCATGATCAACTCTGGTTCCAAAACGAGGCTCACTTGGGCGACAATCATGGACTGAATGACACACTTGTAGTGTGTAAGAGAGTCTCACGTAGCAAATACGATTTCTAGGTAGTGTGGTGCACGGGGGTAGATACACATATTTGCATACCTAGGAACGCTCAGATGAAAGTCCATATGTTACCTCTGATGCATGTTGACCATACCTACTCATTGGAGCTCAGTAGTGGGTCCATTTTCAACTGGTCGACACTATTAGGTAAATTGAGAAAACTATAGAAATTTTGCTGTGTGAATTTTGTGTACAATATGACATTTTCTACTTGACTGAATTAATTCTCTGTTTACAGCGGAATATATCATCGTTTAATCCATGTCGTGTTTCGATTTGAGAATCGGCATTGAGAACTAGAGCGTCCAAGAATACTAGGACGAAGAGAGAGACTTAATAATTGTAATAATCAGACTTCAGTTAACCTGAAAAACGTTATTTATTTTCGAGGAGACCGCATACTCAAGATTATTAAGCTGCAAAATTTCGAGCTTCTACTCAATGGGATATGACTAATATATTATTTTACAATACAGAAGGTGTGTTTGATTGCATTTGCCTTGATGAGAATGGAAACTAATGTTAACTGACAAGTAATGGAGAACTCTCGTTACTCTACTATACTATATAACTACACAACTCTACAAAATACACCGTAGTTAATAATTCTCGTATATAACCGATCAGCTACGAAATATAATCAGGATATGCTTATATAAAGAACATCTGTTATGCTTAAAGGTTGTTAGTTAAGCAATCACGGGCTAAGCAGATCTTTCTTAATTTGTAGGAACGATACCGAAACATCATTTTAGATGAAAACCTTAACTGTCGTTCTTCAATATAAGATAATCGGACTCTTTTACAACTCATTATAGTTCAATTCAACAGACTGGACTTGAAGTATTTTAATTTTTCATCATCGAATCTGGCCAGTTATTGATGTTAATAGGCTCGTTAAACTCAAACGCCAGACTGTTGATTGTAATAACCGAAAATCTCCACCTTTAAAACAACAATACTCAACACAAACTAACCAATTCTTATGAAGCCACAGAAGGTCAACAATTAGGTTTATCTAGCATCTTGGTGAACGAGAACACAAGTCAGGTCAACCAAATACATCTCAATGCAACATTACCAAATAACCTGGTAACGTCCGAGAACCATACAATAAATATTTCATTGGTACACTACCCATCAATTTTTTCAGAATTCATTGTTCCTTAATTTCCATAACAACCACCCTCTGTCCTCGTTTTCTTCTATTCTATCTTCGCAATCTTCTGCTACCAAGCATTCCTCTTTCGACTGATGATAAATAATACTCACATCAACAACACTGACATCAACAGCACAGAACACAGCATGACTGCAGCTATCTGTGATTTATTCTACACTCAGAAAAAGTCTTCTTTTGTTTACAGGTTATTAGATCATTTAAATCACTTTTATGGAAACATGAATGCGTTGTCGTGTGTTTTGATACGATACCACTTCAAGATGATAAGGTCTGTAAACGAGAATGTGAGATCACTAGACTGGGATATTCGATTAGCACACCATATATATCTTTTGATATCACACTAAGCCAAAATAATTCTCATAACCGAAAATATAGGACCACATTACAAGCAACACAATGGTACATTGAGCACAAGCCCATTCAATTATTAACCGCACTTTAGTCAAATCGAGAGGAAGGTCCATTGAGTTTGAAAATGATTCTTCATATCTTTAATGTTTATAATCCAAAGAGATAAAAACCGGACAAAATAAAATCATTAAATAAAAATGATCTGCAATTATTTCTATGAAAATAGACTTTTTTCGACTATCTATTAAGTATTTCAGTGATGACATGACTGAGTTTTGTTTAATGTAAACAAAGGAAACTTTGCGGATGCTTTTCATGCAATTAGTTCCTTTTTTGAATTTAAATAAAGCCAGAACAAATATCGATGCAGAATGGCATGAATTCATAATATTTCGAGGTTTCTCGTCAGATGTTTACAACCATATATGTAATAGAATTTTACATTGAGATAAGAAGTCGTATGGAACAATCGACATAAATTAATGAAAAGGATTGGAATGACAATATAACTATATATATATGTGCAAGAACAGGTCAGAGGTTAATTGGTGTTAGTGTTAAGGAAACAATTCGGGATGGGTGGTGTATTAGTTGAGTGGAGTTCATAAATTGTGTGATAATTTTAAAGGTAATAGAGGATTCATGGAAGTAAACAGTGAAAAAATAGGTTATGTAATAATAATTGAATGGAGTTTGAAAAAGTTAACATAATTGAAGAGGATAAGTGGGTTGAAAGTGTGTGAGTGAAAAGTTGGTTTGAGAATTCGGTAATCGGGGAGGAATATAACACAAAATAAATATTTTCAAAATAAATAAGTGAATAAAATAACACAAATAACCGAGAAACAAAAAGCGAAAATTGAAAAAAGTGGATTATCAGGGTAATAATAAGTTTATGAATTACTTACTTACGTCTGTTACTCCTCGTGAAGGAGCATAGGCCGCTCACCAGCATTCACCGTCCAACCCTGTCCTGGGCAATCTTATCCAGCTCCTTCCAGTTCCTGTTGATCCTTTTAATATCCCGACGTAATGTGTTCGTTGGCCTTCCTCTTTTTCGCTTCTCTTCAGGATTCCAAGTTAGGGCTTGACTAGTGATTTGCGTAATGTACGTCCTATCCATTTCCATCATTTTTTCCTAATTTCTTCTTCAGCTGGAAGCTGGTTTGTTCTCTCCCACAGAAGGCTGTTGCTGATGGTATCCGGCCAATGGATGTTGAGTATAAATACTTGCACCTTCTTCATGATGGTTGTTGTGGTTCTCCAAGTTTCAGCTCCGTACAGTAGAACTGCCTTGACATTTGTATTGAAGATTCTGACTTTGATATTGGTTGAAAGTAGTTTTGAGTTCCATATGTTCTTCAACTGTAGGAACGAGGCCTTCGCATTGTCGATCCTCGCTTTTACATTTGCATCCGATCCTCCTTGTTCATCGATGATGCTTCCCAGGTACGTGAAGGATTCTACATCTTCCAAAGTTTCACCGTCAAGAGTGATTGGATTGCTGTTCTCTGCTTTGAATTTGAGGACCTTGGTTTTCCCCTTGTGTATGCTGAAGCCTATTGATGCAGAGACTGATGCTACACTGGCTGTCTTTATCTGCATTTGTTCATGCGTATGCGATAGGAGGGTCAGGTCATCTGCGAAGTCCAAATCGTCTAATTGATTCTGAGCTGTCCATTGTATTCCATGTTTTCCCTCAAATGTCGAGGTCTTCATAATCCAGTCGACCACCAGAAGAAAGAGGAAAGGAGAAAGTAGAAAGCCTTGTCTGTCTCCGGTCCTTACTAGGAATGCATCTGTCAGCTGTCCTCCATGCCCGACCTTGCACTGTAGTCCGTCGTATGAGTTCCGGATAATATTGACAATCTTCTCGAGAACTCCATATTGTCGAAGAAGTTTCTATAACGTCCTCTTGTCTAAACTGTCTCTTTTTGAATACATAAATCCGTTTTAATTTTTTTTATCGCGATCGCTTCAGTATAACTGAGAGCGGTCGTACGTTTTTGTCTGCTGATGATTTTAAAAGCGTGTGGAGTGTCAATGTTATGCCTGGTGTCAATTAAATATCGAGCTATTGCACTGTTGGGAGCCCTAGTCCCTCGCGGCCTCAAGTTATTTGGAACATGCTCAGAAATATGAACATGTAATCCTCTCTTATTGTGTTTCCGAACGAAACACCGTCATTACAAAGCATGCATCGTAAAATCACTTTAATAGCTACGTACGGCAATCACTTACCATGTTGTTATGAATGACGAGATAGTGACTTACATTGAAACGTAAGTCACGCATTTTGTTTTATATGGACCAGTCAGCATCATATACGTACAACCTGATGCTGACGTTTACATTGAGATAACTCAAATGCTCACACATGATGGTGCGTGCTCGGTAGCAAAACAGCTCATGAGATGATAGAAGTTAGTTTAGCGATTTATTTATTCATTTTCACAGTGGAAACTTGTGAATAAATTAGATTGAGTAAGTTGAATAATGCTTTGACCAATGTGATCTGTGATTAGAATTTTTATTAACATTATTCTATTGTGTTTAGGAGACAATCTGTCTCATAACCTTTGAATGTTTATGTTGACAACACTACAATATTCATTTATCCTACATGTTGATCTGGTTTGCTTCCTCGTCTTCCAGCATTCTCGTTGGTTCAACGTAACAGTGCAGTTAAAATACAAAGCATGTCAACTTTGAGTCAACAACGTAAACTGGTTGAACAACCACGTGAAGAGGCAAACATGGATTGTCGTCCCGTTTGTGAATGTGAACAAGAAATGATTGTGTGTATGCAACAGAATGGAGAAGAAGATTGTCTAGTTTCAGGATTTGCGTGTAACAAAGCTAATGGATTGCAAGAAAAAGGTGGATGCGTGATGATGTAGGCAATTTCATGAAGGGATGATCGAACAAACAACTTTGACTCAATGTTCAGTCATCCTTATGCTCTTTTCTTTTCTGCTTATGTAACGAACATTTGTTTGTTCGAAAGGAAGGAAGTGGGCAAACTAGTTCCATGTTCAATTAAATGTATTTGATTTGTAAACTTTGGTGTTTTAATTGTATTGCTCCACTGGGCTTTTGTGTAAACGGGCAAGCGCTCACACGTGAACGTGTTCAATTATTCTTTTATATGAATGAAGAGGGCACTCTCATTCCGTCTATCTACTTCGTAATATCTTACTATTTCTGTTGTTGCTATCTTTGGATGCTGACACTTGAATCCAAATGAAGAGCAAATAACGATGAGGTTTAAATAACACATAAACTACGAGATTTCACTGGTGATTTCTGTCTCGTTTCGAACCGACTATTGGAATGATTCACAGTTGAGTTTGTTGACGACTGTTGAATTTTTGTCGACATATTGCCATTATTGTATTATTCCAATGATGCTTGAGAACGATTATTTATCACAGGTGCTGTTGATGATGGTTATTTTAAGGATGATGTTGGCCCGTGAAATCCTCACCCATTTTGAAACAATGGATGTGATGTGGTCACCAGTGGAATCCACGAGTCGTGTCCGTCCTGTATGAGATTTGTCAGTTGCATACTTCTAACTACTGATCACAGTTTTTGCCCGAACAGCTGCACCTATTGATATGATTCAAATTCACAGGCAGTAACTTTGGAGACTGATATCACGTCCTGGTTCAATCAAGTCTCGCTTGCTTCCGACTGATTTGCACGCCAGTCGTGCTCATATCATAGAATGCGGTAAATGTTGTGCTTTTAACGCACACCGTAATAGTGCTAGTAGGTGAAACTGCACCGACTCATCAGTGAATTTGCAGTGTTCACCTAGTGGCTTACACCTAACCTCAGCACTCCTCACCGTGTTAGGTGAAATGGAAAGAAAAAATTTCATCATTGTGAATGCTGAGATTCAAACAACCGAACAGCACACCAGTTGAACAAGTAAAATATCCCTCTTTACGGATCGTTCTAATCATCTGAAGAATATCAAGGACGTTTAAATCAATTGTAAATTCAACTTGTAGATAATAGTATCATTTACATTCTATGAAGCAGAATGAAAAACGCCAACATCATTCAAAGTATGCTTCAATTGGTTTTGACTTGTGTCAGAAAATCTTGTTCAGTGATGATTTCAATGGTGATTTCAGAGTCAGCATTCATTAATTTATCAAAGGATGATAATCAGGTTTTTAATCACTGGGCTAAATCAACTCTATTAGCATCACGTGTTCACATGATGATATGAACTGTTTCACTTCCACATTATTTACACGGACTTCAACGCCATCTGTAACACTTCCACAAGATTTAATTTAAAGTTCATCGTTACTGTACTTCAAACTTCATGCACCCGACCTTCTATGATATGTTCTTTTGGTAGGCCGAAATAGTAGGATGTGAGATAATCTCACTTAGTGACATCACATTAACAGACTGCGGATTCATTTTGACTGACGAGGATTTTTATCGCACGGTAACCTTTATTTGCGTGAATACTGACTTACCAATATAGAGGAAGCTTTATTGTTTATACGCTTGCGTGTTTTGTGAATCCAGTTTATCGCGTGAGATCAGTGAGCAAGTGAATATATCAGAGGGATATCATGAGGCGGTGCACTGTCCATTACTTATCACTCCCAGTTATGTCCTTATTCGTTTAAGTGAAGTAAGTGAGTTGTGTTTTGTTCCAGTGGTTCGCTTCGACCAACCTAAGTAAAAGCGACAGATCAGCTTGAAGACTGGATTTGAAAGATATACTGGAGTCAAGCAATATGGCACTAGTCAAGACATCGTTAATACAAGTAAATTGTCAGAGAGTGAAACAAGCGGTCGGATTGATCGATTTGGTGTAATGAGTCTACGGATATTAACGACAGCTCTAGAGGTCCAGATCCATGTGACGATACTGGTCAATTAAGTGGAGTGATGACAAACGGCTTTCGTATACAAAATGAAAAAGGCCGAAAATGTGGTACGAAGTTTTCAATGAGGAAAGCGAAGAACAAGGTGAAAGGGGAAGTTGAAAGACCAGAAGAATATGAAGGAAGGTTGGGCTCTTATTAAGCTGATGTTTCTGTAGTTCTTTGTAGCATGGTAACCATTATTTGCTGGGAAATAGAGGGCGCCGTCTTTGCTCCAAAATGTAGTCGGTTATATCGAATATGACCCTTGTGCATGTTGATCGTTAGTAAATTTTACTTTCGTCATATTCAGGGATTTGCAAACATGTGTCTGGTATATCTAGTTTCTCAAAATATCTTTCACCTTTCAGCGTGGCGAAGAAATCTTCTGGTAGTTGCAAAGGATACTGACGAGACTCTGAAGGTTCACGTAGTCCGATAGAGAAATCTACAGGTAAGTGAACGTTTCCATTTTATTTCTTGACAACCACTGTTGGCGCAGCCTAATATGAGAAGTTTACAGCTTTAATAACACCTATTTTCAAATGCACGTTGTGACCTAAACAAATATGACCACCCACCTATCCAACCGATAATTGTTCAATTAAACAAATCTAAATTACAATAAATAAGGAAGTTCACAAAGGATGCAAGCAAATTACCAATCACAATAAACAAATGCTGTTCTATCCTCACCGGATAGACTACGCACAGATTCGTTCAAAAATAATATTTGATTGCTGTATAACACAGAGTGTTTCCAATTCCGGAAGAGTGCCTCAATTCGCAATCAAAATTCATAATTCTAGTCAATACAAGCAAGGCAATCAAAAGGAGGAACAAAACAATATGGCTGTTGCCAAGATTAAGTATAAAGTAAGACAACATAAGTGCAGTTCGAGAAAAAACACGGAAACTTAGTGAAGGCGTAAGAAAAATCGAAACTATAACAAAATACAAATATTAACAACTCAAATGGAATCAAAAAGACTAACAATGTACAAGTAATAGAATCAATAGGAAGAAACTGCTAGTGTATGCATTGAGGGATTTTCACACACAAATCATTCAAAACGGATCTTATACTGGCCCACAAAATCCCTCCATACAACGCAAGCTACCTTGATGCCTATGGTCATATTTCATTCTATAACATATTCTACAATACAGAAACGAGCAGGTCTTACAACAGTACGCCTAATCGACCTGCCTACATTGATACAACAAGGAACTAATTCGAACCTTCAAAGAGACATAATTTACGTATAACCTTTCTAGCCAATCCATTATTCGTACGAACAGTTACCGTCCTAATCTTTCGTCGTTATCTATTTCAGCCACATTCCACGCGTCGAGATGTCCGAAGCCACGATTACTACATCTCATTTCTGAAAATTGCAGTGTTCAGCTAAATATTTCTGACGATTTGTAGGGACGGTAAATATTCTCTTAACCACCGTTTCCAAAACACATTACCAAGATGAATAATCTGTTTCGTGCTATTGTGCTTGACATAGGACTGGCGACTACATTGATTTATCTTCGGCTCACTCTGCGGCCAGACATTCAGCACACACCACATTGAGTTTATTTCCTCAGCTTCAATCATAAAACACTGTGTTCAACTTGACCACTTACACATATACCTCAGCAATATTAAGCGGACCACAAATATGCGTTCTTTACCGTATCACACTCAACCAATTAGATAGGCAGAGCGCTTTATTGACATATCTAAAAGGAAATTACTGGAAGTGATAGACGAAGTAACATGTCAGGTAATTACAAGATTCTGAACAGTTTATAGAACTACACTCAACCCTGTTGTCCCAGATTGAAAGTTCCTTGCTGAAGCTATGTTCGGAAGATGTATTCGAACAGTATTTGAAGTTATATTGCCACTAAAACCTTGAGATGGAAGCAGTAAAACCAGACCACCAGAAATTCTGATGTGTGTGATAAAGTGATCATCAAGTCATACCTTAAAATATTGATGGGAACCTGGAGTCATTGAAAAGAGAATAGAAGACATTTTGTACAAAGTGTGTGGGACGTTCGGAAGGTAGATTAGATGAACTGACGGACAAAACATTTGTTTTAAGTTCATTTTGTTTTCAGAAAAGCAGCGATCTTTCGCAAAATGAAAGTTGCATTCACCGATATTCTCTGTGCGTAGTTGATTGTCAGTCATATTAACACAGTTTTATTAGAGACCGACCTTGTTTATTCTAACTGAGATCAATGTAAGTCTGACAACACGATGGATAATACCATATAGTTTTATTGATCGGATAGAACAAGGTGATAGACAATCAGAAATTATATTGATTGATATTATTACAAACAACTGAGGTTAACAGACATGTTTGCAAATCACGCTATTAAATAATTTACACTATAATAATTACCTTTAAAGAAATAAGCCAATTACTAAGAATTCTGATATGGAACATTCTTTAAATAACATGTATACAATCATTTTACTTAATGTTAGTTCGATAAGTCGTGTTTGAACAAGATTTTCTGATTGAGGATCCATGATAACAATGATTAGTGGGCTATTAATTAGGAAGTTGAATTTTAAAAAACTATGTTTTTCTGTGAAACATCGATCAATTCACTCGTTTTAACGATATTGTTACATAGCTCACGGTTTATAGCTGTTTTATAACCGATATGGTTGGACTACAGTAGTCACGAATCCTCACTGGAACTTCACCAATCTGATCTTGCAATTGAGATATTTTGTAGGACATTTCGACAAAAATTGAAACCGACAATTTTTGAAAACATTCGGGGAACGGATAACGCATGAGAATTGACAGTTTCTGTGTAGCTGAATGAATTATCTCACTAAACTGGTTTACTCGACATACACTGCGTATCTGGTTGATTACTTTTGAATTTTTCAATGTTCAGTTGCATAGGCAGATTACTAACTGAAAGTGTAATAAACGTGAATGAATAGAACTCATTTTACAGACATTGACGTACTCACTAAG